TGTGTGCGACAAGCTGGGCTGATTTCCATGTTGCCCCCTCCCTTCTTCCCTGAGTAATTTTATAAAGTTGATAGGGAAGGTTTCAGTGGGATCTTGGCCAGTCTCACAAAGGAGGCTGTTCTGAGGGGCTGGGAAGGAGGCCTCAAGAGAGGAGGAAGGGCTCCCAGGGAAGGGCTTGGGCCAGGGTGCCTGATACTGGGGTGGAGTGGAGGGCACTATTAGCTTCAGCATGTGCAAAGAAGGCGGCTTGGGGATTCTGAGTGGTTGGGGTGGTACTGTGGGAGGGAGGTCACCTGCAGAGAAGGGGCAACAGGAGGTGGGAGGCCCTGGTAAAGATTCAGTTCCCCAAGTGGCCCAGATGCTCTCAAAATGGCTTGCCTCAGGGACTGTCCACCACCAAAAAAATCTCAGCACTCTCTCTTGCTATTTAATCAGATAAAGCCCCAGGATCTGAAGCCCCAGGTTCAGATCCTGCCTTGCCATTGGCTTGCAGGATCTATGACCTTGGCAAATGGCTTTGCCCCCTGCTTCAATTTCTTTTTCTGCAGAATGTGACAGGAATGTTCTCTACTTCCTGGGGATGTTTAAAACGTTAAATAATCATCAGCTCTCCACGTGGTACACTTGAAATATGCCTTTAAAAACCATGCCCATTGGACTTGGGTATTGGTTACGTGGTGTTTCCCTCTAAAATTATTCATGATAGCCAGGTGCAGTGGTGCATGCCTGTAATCCCAGCACTCTGGGAGAGGACAAGGTGGGAAGATTGCCTGAGCCCAGGAGTTTAAGACCATCAGGGGCAACACAGGGAGACACCATCTCTTTTTTTTTTTTTTTTTGAGACGGAGTTTCGCCCTTTCGCCCAGGCTGGAGTGCGATGGCATGATCTCGGCTCACCACAACCTCCACCTTCCGGTTTCAAGTCATTCGCCCACCACAGCATCCCAAGTAGCTGGGATTACAGGTGCCCGGCACTGCGCCCAGCACCACACCTGGCTATTGTTTGTATTTTTAGTAGAAATGGGGTTTCACCATGTTGGCCAAGTTGGTCTCAAACTCCCGACCTCATGATCAGCTCGCCTGGGCCTCTCAAAGGGTTGGGATTACAGGTGTGAGCCACTGCATCCGGCCTTTTCATTTTTATTTTTTGAGACGGTGTTTCGTTCTTGTTGCCTAGGCTGGAGTGCAATGGTGTGATCTCGGCTCACTGCAACCTCCGCCTCCTGGGTTCAAGAGATTCTCCTGTCTTAGCCTCCCAAGTAGCTGGGATTACAGGAGCATGCCACCACACCTGGATTTTTTTTTTTTCTTTTTTTGAGACGGAGTATCGCTCTGTCGCTCAGGCTAGAGTGCAGTGACATGATCTCGGCTCACTGCAAGCTCCGTCTCCCAGGTTCACGCCATTCTCTTGTCTCAGTCTCCCGAGTAGCTGGGACTACAGGAGCCTGCCACCACACCCCGCTAATTTTTTGTATTTTTAGTAGAGACGGGATTTCATCATATTGGTCAGGCTGGTCTCCAACTCTTGACCTCAGGTGATCTGCCCGCCTTGGCCTCCCAAAGCACCGGGATTACGGGCATAAGCGACCACACCCGGCCTCTATTTTAAAATAAATAAATCAATCATTGTGGAGCATGTGAGTTTAATGAACTTTTCTGTATATTTTACAAAGTTCACAGCGTGCATGGGTTGAAAACGAAAAGAAAGATGCCTGTCAAATAACTAATAAAGACTAACTAGCCTGGGCCCGGTTGCTCATGCCTGTAATCCAAGCAGTTTGGTAGGCCAAGATGGGCGGATTGCTTGAGCCCAGAAGTTGAGACCAGCCTGGGCAACATGGTGAAACCCTGTCTCTGCGAAAATACAAAAATGAACTGGGCATGGTGGCATGTGTCTGCAGTCCCAGCTACTCAGGGGGCTGAGGTGGGAAGACCACTTGAGTCTTAGAGATCGAGCCTGTAGTGAGCCGCGATCATGTCACTGCCACTGCACTCTAGCCTGGGTGACAGTTAGATCCTGTCTCAAAAAAAAAAAAAAAAAAAAAAAAAGACAAAATATCAAGAGGCTGATAGGTAATGTGAACCCCTGTGGTGCTTAAAAAATTTTTTCATGTTATTAAAACATTTTTTTTGCCAGGTACAGTGGATCACGCCTATAATTCCAGCACTTTGGGAGGCTAAGCCGGGTGGATCACCTGAGGTCAGGAGTTCAAGACCAGCCTGACCAACATGGCAAAACCCCATCTCTACTAAAAACACAAAATTTAGCTGGGTGTGGTGGTGGGCGCCTGTAATCTCGGCTACTTGGGAGACTGAGACAGGAGAATCACTTGAACCTAGGAGGCAGAGGTTGCAGTGAGCCAAGATCAAGCCATTGTAGTATAACCTAGGCAACACAGTGAGACTCCATCTCAAAAAAAAATTGTTTTTATAAGATGGTGTCCCACTATGTTACCCAGGCTGGTCTTGAACTCCTGCACTCAAGCAGTCCTACTGCCTCAGCCTCCCATGTAGCTGGGATTACAGTCATGTGCTTCTATACCCATCAATTCATCTGTGGTGCTTCTGAATCTAAAATTCGCAAGCCCAAATTTCTAAGAATGGGCAACAGGGTCCCTAAGGTCTCAAAAGGGCTTCAGCAGACTCAAGTTTGGGATCCACCATCTACTAATAAACTTTTGCACTTTTCTAAGAGAGTCATATATTATATAATCGCAAGGGAAAAGATAAAACAGTATGAACTGAAATTTTGTGTTGTGCCCTGGCATCTTGGGGTGGGACGTGGCCAGGCCAGCTATGGGAACTGTCCCAGATTGCATCATCTCTAAGAGTTCTCAGAGCCTCGGGTCATGTGTACTCTAAATGGGGCTCCGTGCCCAGCACTGGCATTCTTGTGGAAATTTGGACAGACAAGGCACCAGCTGCATTCCTAGGTTGCAGAGTACCACAGGAGGTAGCTTCATCTCAGGATATCAGCTCTCTACTGTGGATCTGGTTATATTCTACTGCTACAAAACCATGAATTCCTTCAGAAAAAAGGTGCCTGAAGCTGGCAGCGGTGGCTCACACCTGTAATTTCAGCACTTTGGGAGGCTGAGGCAGGAGGATTGTTTGAGCTCAGTAATTCAAGACTAGCCTGGGTAACACTGGGAGACCCCATCTGTACAAAAAATTAAAAATTAGCCACGCATGGTAGTGTATGCCTGTGGTCTCAGTTGCTAGGGAGGCTGAGGTGGGAGGATTGCTTAAACCTACAAGGTTGAGGCTGCAGTGAGCCGTGACTGTGCCACTGCACTCCAGCCTGGGCAACAGAGTGAGACCCTGCCTCCAAAAAAAAAAAAAAGAAAGAAAAGAAAAGAAAATAAAGGGTTTTTTTCCTTTAAATACAACTAAGGTTTAAGAAAACCAAGTTTATTGTGGAACTATTTATATCAAGTGTTATAAAGATTGTCTTTTCTTTTTTTTTTGTGACAGTGTCTTGCTGTCGCCCGGGCTGGAGCGCAGTAGCACGATCTCGGCTCACTGTAATCTCTGACTCCCGGGTTCAAGCATTTCTCCCATCTCAGCCTCCCAAGTAGCTGGGACTATAGACATGCGCCACCATGTCTGGCTATTTGTTTGTAGAGACAGGGTTTTGCCATGTTGCCCAGGCTTGTCTTGAACTCCTGAGCTCATGTAATCCACTGGTCTTGGCTTCCCAAAGTGCTGGCATTACAAGTGTGAGCCACCACGCCAAGCCTAAATTGTTTTCACATGTGCCATTATTAAAATCACTTATGTAATTCATCTAAATAATGTTTTATCAGCTTTTGAAACAATTAAATCCTGAAGGCCGTTATGTATAAACAGAAACGTAGAATTTATTTGCACTAGGAGAATCCTTATTAATTGAAGGAGAAGATATCAAAGAACTAAATATGTATTTGTTTTGAAAATTTTTAGTGGTTTTATATCTAACTAGTAATTAGTTTATAGGCAAGATGTTAACTTCCATTCTTAAAGGAGAAACTCAAACCTGATATATTTTTTATATTATGTGCTTTTCTTCCACAGTAGGTAATCATTAAATTAATTAATTAATTTATTTGTGAGGCAGAGTCTTGCTCTGTTGCCCAGGCTGGAGGGTAGTAGTGCAATCTCTTCTCACTATAACCTCCACCTCCTGGGTTCAAGCAATTCTCCTGCCTCAGCCTCCCGAGTACCTAGGACTATAGGTGCATACCACCACGCCCGGCTCATTTTTTGTATTTTAGTAGAGACAGGGTTTCACCCCGTTGGCCAGGCTAGTCTCAAACTCCTGACCTCAAGTGATCCGCCCACCTTGGCCTCCCAAAGCGCTAGGATTACAGGTGTGAGCCACCACGCCTGGCTCATGTATACACATTCAGCAAATAACTATTGAACTCCATTTATGTACCAGACACTGTTAATTGAAGTTACTCACTTTTCCTTTCAGAACTAAAGCCTTATCAGTTGTGTGTTCAGATAGGAAGAAGAGACTTTTTCCATTTCTTGTGTTTTCTACAGTTACTCCCTTCCCAAACTGATCAAGTGTACAGTTTATAAAAATCTTAAAAACTTATTCTTACTGGTAAATTCATTTTAATAATGAGGGGGAGAAACTTTAAGTAGTTATTAAAAAGAAAAGAATGAATACACATACACTAAATGTGGCCGATGTTTTCAGGAGAGATTAGTAAGAGAGGCCACATGATCAAATAAAAATTACAGTTTTGCTGGGATTGTCCCCTCTTGGCCACCCAAGTGTTTGTGGAAGAAAGTCTGGAGTTGTTTCCAAGCATCCACCTGAGCCATGGCATGAGCCCTGGGCTCCCCTCCGAAGATAATAGCACTGCCCACCAAGGCATGCAGGGAAGCCCGGCACAGTGGGAAGTAAGGAGGCTCAATATAGTGTCCCGCCCCTGCATAACAGATGATCTGGGGCTTTCTCCTCCCATGGGCCTGCAAGCGTTTACAAGCCTCATTAGCATAGAACTCACTCTTCCAGTTGTGGTCATCCTGACCTACCAGGAACAGGAAGGTGCTCTCTGCCCTTTCCACAGGAATGAAGCTCTTCTGGTCAGGTCCTTCCAAAGGGCTGTTCAGGACATCCACAATGTCTGCATAGCCATCTTTGGTCACCTTGATGCGATTTCTGTTGACGCCCACAGGGGGCAGGGTCTCACCCTTGTAGTGTAAGGTTCCCCCAACATTGGCCACAGAGCCGTTGATGATGACAGCAGCCGTGATGCCCTTCAGGAAAGAGGCCATGGAAAGGCAGAGCTCACCCCCTTTGGAAATTCCAAGCAGCCCAACTCCTGGACCTTTTACCTGAGAAAGACACAAGGAAAAAGAAGAATGACTCCACAAACAGTGGAATACGGTGAGTTGTGCCCACCCTGGAAGTTACTTGAACCTGAGTCTGAATCTGGGTTCTACAATTTACCACTTTGGGAATTTACCTCCCCTCTATCTCTTCCTTTCCACAATTTCTCCATCACCACTCTTGGTGATAACCATGTGGAAGATCTATCAACTAACCACTCTGGTTTCTCAGTTCCTTAATCTCATATCTCCCATGATCTTTTTCTCTCTCCCACCTGAGCCACCCATTCCCACTGTCATAACTAAACTGAGTCATCATCAACAAGTACATCATTTCATGGCTGGCTGTGGAGGCTCACACCTATAATCCCAACACTTTGGGAGGCTGAGGCGGGTGGATCACTTGAGGTCAGGAGTTTGAGACCAGCCTGGCCAATATGGTGAAACCCCATCACTACTACAAATACAAAAATTAGCCAGGCAGTAGTGGCATGCACCTGTAGTCCCAGCTACTCGGGAGGCTGAGGCAGGAGAATCGATTGAACCTGGGAGGTGCAGGTTACAGTAAGCCTAGATCATGCCATTGTACTCCAGCCTAGGTGACACAGCAAGACTCCATCTCGAAAAAAAAAAAAAGAAAGAAAAACATACTGGAATTAAAAATTGTATAATGCCAACTATGAGAATATTTACTAGCAGAAAATATAGTAATATAGAATTGCATAGAAACTGTCTTTAAGAGGCCAAGTGTGGTAGCTCACGCCTGTAATTCCAGCACTGTGGGAGGCCAAGGTGGGCAGATCACTTGAGGTCAGGAGTTTGAGACCAGCGTGGCCAACATGGCAAAACCCTATCTCTACTAAAAAAAAAAAAAAAAAAAAAATACAAAAATTAGGCCAGGCATAGTGGCTCATGCCTGTAAACCAGCACTTTGGGAGGCCAAAGCGGGTGGATCATTTCAAGTCAGGAGTTCAAGACCAGCCTGACCAATATTGTGAAACCCCACTTCTACTAAAAACACAAAATTAGCCGGGCATGATGGCAGGTGCCTGTAATCCCAGCTACTCGGGAAGCTGAGGCACAAGAATCACTTGAACTTGGGATGTGGAGGCTGCAGTAAGCCAAGATCACAACACTGGACTCCAGCCTGGCAACAGAGTGAGACTCCATCTCAAAAAAAAAAAGAAAGAAACTGTAAGAAGTGACTTAAAAAGGTAGTGTGTGTTGGGGTAGGGAATGGCTGTCATGAATGGGCCAACTTCTGTGAACACGCAGACCATTCAAGAAGAGACCTGATACATCATAGACCATAAATCTGAGAGAAGAACTAACCTCAGGATGACTGAGCAAGTAGTTCACAGCTTCTTCAAAGTACTCCAGATGGAGGACGTCCATGGTCTTGGGGAGGTCTTCATAGTTATAATAAGCCAGAGCCATCACAGCAAAACCCTTCCCAGCCAGCAGACTAGCCCGATACTCCAGCAGGCCACCTCCAGTTCCGAACATGTCCACAATCCCAGGAAAGGGCCCAGGTTCTTGAGAAGAAACAAAACAAAATGCAAAGCTAAGCTATTCCTGAAACAGCTGGATGGTTTCTTATCAAGTTAAATACACACTTACCATACATGTGACCCAGCAATCCCACTCCTAGGTTATATTCCCACGAGAAATGAAAACCTGTGTTCATCCAGAAACTTCTGGCAAGTGTTGATAGTGACTTTACTCATTATAGCCAAACACTGGAAACAACCCATATGTCCTTTGACTGGTGAATGAATCCATTTAATGGTGCACCACCAAGAAACAGCAAGAAAGACTGCTACGTACAAGACACAAATGCCTCTCCAGTGCACTCAACAGAATGCACTTATTCAACAGACTCAAAAGGGTACTCATTCCGAATGACTCCACCTACTGAATATTTTTACCATTTAAAGGTTTGTATTTCATACAAGAAAAATAAATAACGCAGACCGGGTGCAGTGGCTCACTCCTGTAATCCCAGCCCTTTGGGAGGCTGAGACCGGTGGGTCACCTGAGATCAGGAATTCGAGACCAGCCTGGCCAACATGATGAAACCGTCTCTACTAGAAACACAAAAATTAACCGGGTGTGGTGGTGGGCACCTGTAATCCCAGCTACTCGGGAGGCTGAGGGAGGAGAATCACTTGAACCCAGGAGGCAGAGGTTGCAGTGAGCTAAGATTGCACCACTGCACTCCAGCCTGGGGGAAAGAGCCAGATGCTGTCTCAAGAGAAAAAAAAAAAAAAGAATGTAAACACCTTATGGGCAACACTTCAAGAAATAGTTAAGTGCTGATACCCTCAAGCCATCAAAGTCCCACAGGCCCCCTACCCCCTGTGCCCTTTCCTCACTTTCCAGTATCCTGGACTTTCTGTGTATCACTCTCTTGGTTTTTATAGTATTAACACTTAGATATGTACCTTAATATTTTATTTTGCCTGTTTTTTGAATTGTATCTAAATGGAATGATACTGAATGTGTTCGCCTAGGGTTTGACTGTTTCACTCAACAGTGGTTTGGAGATTCATCCATGTTCTTTTTTTCCTTTTATTTTGTATATCTTGATAGATGTTGATTCTTGTAGCTGTAGTTCAATCACTTTGACTGCTGGAAATATACCTCAGTTTATTAATCTGTTCTATTGTTGATGGACATTTGGGCTGTTTCCAGTTGGCTTTGCTCTTTTTTAAAATTAATCCAGACTGCTCATCTGCAATGGCTTTCCTCTTATAAGGAATATGTCTCCTGGTGCACATGTACCAGTAGAATAAGAGATTTAACTGTGTAAGTTAAGACACATTGTTTCCCAGAGTAGATGAATATGTTGACTCCTTCTAACAGTGAGTTTTATTTCCTCCACACACTGGTCAGCAATTGGTAATGCTGGCTTCTAAAAGTCTGCCGCCTCTGAGGGTGTGAAATGTACTCTGTTGTTTTATTTTGCATTGCTTTGATTATTAATAAGGATAAGCATCATTTCATTTTTACATTGGCTGATTGCTCTTTATGTAATAAAAGTATCCAGTAACCTCAAATTTCCACTGGACAGCAAGAGGCCTTCATATTGTAAATGCTAATTTACATAAACCTGAACATACTGTGGGAGTTGAAAGAAAAGTTGCAAAAATGAGAAACTTTTAAAAGAGCATTTGTGGGCCCCATGCCCCTAGGATCCCCAGAAACCCCAGTGCCCCAGCAGCCATGAGCATAGCCCATGCGTGTGCTGATGGACAGGGACCGCGTGCTGGCAGCTTCTAGACGGCCTCCTGCGGGGCTTCGCCGCCCCTCCTCGGGAAGCTGCCTGTGACACTGCAGCAGCGCCGCAGCTTCCTGGCCTGGAAGCAGTACCGCACCCTGCTGCCGGACCTGGTGGATAAAGAGGCCCATGGGTGTGAAGCCCTAGGCTTTTCCCTAGACGTGGAGCCCAATCACGGAGGGCCTTGCGAGAGATGAAGCACATGCAAAACACAGAGGTCTACATACTGCACCAGCCCCTGCCCAAGTATGACCACTGTGTGCGTGAGAAGCACCACTGGCTAGAGCAGCACCTGGAGCCCCAGCTTGTGGAACAAATTATCCTGACAATGGACAAGACCGTGGTCTTTGGGGACTTGCTCACTGATGACAACCATACCATTCGAGGCCAAGAGGAGAGGCCACAATCAGTACCTGGTCCTACCCTGCACAAGGAGGCGGCTGCCCTCCTGGAGTGACAACAGGAGGGAGATCATAGACAGCCAGCGGGGAGCTAGGCAGCAGGAACGAACACGCCCTGCAGGGGGCAGCATCTGCAGCTGGAGCAAGGGCGGGCAGGCAGGCACCATAACCTCCGCGCCCTCACAGGCCCAGCCACCTGGCACCTCCTGGCTGCCATACAGTGAGAAAACCAGTGTATTTCCTCCTGGATATACAGTGAGAAAACCAGTCGGAATTCTTTTTGTTTAAAAAAAAAAAAAAAAAATTGGTGGCTTCCTGGTCAATACATAAGAACATTAAAAAATTGAAACTACCCTTTTTTTTGGTGGTTGTGGTTTTTTTTTTTTTTTTTTTTTTTAGATGGAGATTCACTCTTTCTTGTCCCCCAGGCTGGAGTGCAATGGTGTGATCTTGGTTCACTGCAATCTCTGCCTCCCGGGTTCCAGCGATTCTCCCGCCTCAGTCTCCTGACTGTCTGGGACTACAGCCGTTGCACTACCACGCCCGGCTAATTTTTGTATTTTTAGTAAAGACAGGGTTTTCACCACGTTGGCCAGGCTGGTCTTGAACTCCTGACCTCAGGTGATCCTCCTGCCTCAGCCTCCCAAAGTGCTACAGGCGTTAGCCACCAGGCACGGCCTGTTTTTTGTTTGTTTTGTTTGTTTTTAATATTGTAAGAGTCTTTTCCCTTTCCTTACAATTTTTTTTTTTTTTTTTTTTTTTTTTTTTTGGAGACGGAGTCTTGCTCTGCCACCCAGGCTGGAGTACAGTGGCACGATCTTGGCTCACTGCAAACTCTGCCTCCCGGGTTCAAGTCATTCTCCTGCCTCAGCCTCCTGAGTAGCTGGGACTACAGGCTCCCGCTACAACGCCCGGCTAATTTTTTGTATTTTTAGTAGAGACCGGGTTTCACGGTGGTAGCCAGGATGGCCTCTATCTCTTCATCTCAAAACCCGCGCACCTAGGCCTCCCAAAGTGCTGGGATTACAGGCCTGAGCCACCGCGCCCCGCCGTTACAATGTCTTTTAACTGAACACTAGGTTGAGGGACCTCTCAGTTTTGGAGCGGCAGGGGCAGTCCCCAACCAGCCTTTCATTCCATTCCTGTCTCCTCACACTAACCTTCGGAATGTTGGAAGCTACATCCTTTCTCCGTGTGAAAAGCGCAGGCACGAAAATATAAGAAATAAAAAAGTAAGTGTAACTCCCCTCAGAGGGCCGGGCGCGGTGGCTCACCCTGTAATCCCAGCTCTTAGGGAGGCAGAGGTGGGAGGATAGCTTGAGACCAGGAGTTCAAGACCCGCCTGGGCAATATAGTCCGGGGGTGTGTGTTGGGGGGGGAGAGACACAAACAAAGTGAAAAGAACAGGGGGAAGGCGGGGGGCGACACACACACACAAAGTGAAAAGCACAGAACAGGGTTGGGCAGACGGGAACAATTAGCAGAGGTGACTCACCTGGCGGTAGGAAAAGAGTCCCGCGCACCCGGCCCGCGCGCACCGGCTCGCGCCGCACCCCTGGCGGGAGGAAGTCGCGCTCCTGCCGCGCCCGGCACAGCAGCCGCCCGGGCTCGGGGTCGTGGCCCTCCAGCACCTCCAGCTCCACCGCCAAGGGAGTTCGCACGTCGCGCTTCACCAGCCGCAGCAAGGGTTTCTCGGGCTCCAAAGCCCAGAGCAGCCCCATGGGCTCAAGCCCCGCGAAGCTGCCGCCCAGCGCGGGCGCGCGCTCCAGGTCCAGCTCGCCGTGGGCGTCGGCGCGGTAGCGCGCGTGGGCCTGGAAAAGCGCGCCCTTCTCGTCTCGCAGGGACGCGCGCAGCGTGACCGGCTGCTCCGGGGCTAGGCCGCGCACGGCGATTCGCACCGGCTCGTCCCAGCAGCAGCGGCCAGCGGGCTCCAGGATCAGCGTCGCCGCCATCCGAGCAGGAACCCTAATGATCCGGCCAACCTGCTTCATCTGTGGAGACCTCAGCAACTGCGCCCAACTCTTCAGGCTCCATGGGTACAGCCGGGACGCTCGAAGGACAGCAGGAGATGAGGCCATTTTGAATTTGACCTGGGAACAACTGAACGGGGGTGAGGAGAAAGAAGCTTGTTAGAGATCATCTAAGGCTACCGTCGCAGGCTAAGCGCCCACTAGGGCAGAGGAGTCTGCTAATCTGAGCTGGGAAGGCCAGAGTCCAGCCGATCAGCCCGACCAAATACAGACACACTTGAACTTGCTTCAAGTCTGCTGTGTTGAAACCTCCACCTTATGTTGGAAAGCAACTTCCTAGTTTTGCTTTTCAGAAGCTTGCTGGCCGGCGGAATGGGCAGTCTCGAGGCGCCAAACTCCTGAGGGCGAAGAGGAATGCAGGACTGAAGTTGGTTTTGATCACTTTGTTGAAGAATTCACACTCATTACCAATCATAGATAGAGCTTTTCTGTCAAAATCTGCACCCTGGTGTTTGGCTTGTGTGTTCTCTGTATATGCCTATCCTCCACATCAATCCCACACCGAAGGATTCTGCTGGCTTCTTCCTGTGTGACTTCTGAGCTTCATTCCTTACAGGTGTAAAAATAGTCAAATGAGGTAATAGTTATTTCTCGAACTCCTGACTTTGTGATCCGCCCGCCTCAGCCTCCCAAAGTGCTGGGATTTTCAGGCGTGAGCCACTGCGCTCGGCCAGTAGTTATTATCTTCTTACACTGCTTTCTCATTTTTGTTCCAGTCAGTCAACTTTTTAAAAAAAAAAGAAATTAAAAAAAAAAAAAAAAAAAAAAAAACAGGGTCGGCTGGGCGCGGTGGCTCACGCCTGTAATCCCAGCACTTTGGGAGGCCGAGGCAGGCGGATCACGGGGTCAGGAGATCGAGACCATCCTTGCTAACACGGTGAAACCCCATCTCTAATAAAAACACAAAAAAATTAGCCGGGTGTGGTGGCGGGCGCCTGTAGTCCCAGCTACTTGGGAGGCTGAGGCAGGAGAATGGCGTGAACCCAGGAGGCGGAGCTTGCAGTGAGCCGAGATCGCGCCACCGCACTCCAACCTGGGCGACAGAGTGAGACTCGGTCTCAAAAAAAAAAAAAAAAAAAAAAAAGACAGTCTCACTACTTTGCCAGCCTGGAGTACAGCGGCGGTTTACCATCACTGCACACTTACAAGCCCCAAACTCCTGGGCTCAAGCCATCTTCCTGCCTCAGCCTCTCTATACCTCAAGGGACTACCGGCGCTCCCCATGCATCGGGCTTTTTTCTACTTTTTCATAAGCTATTGGTTTCAACCAGAGGGTTGTTTGTTTTTTTCCATCAAACTTAAGCTTTAGACCCCTCCCAAGCCCTTGTACCTGATTTTATAATTTCCTATCTTTTTAATTAGAGAAACCTATAAATGCGTAAGCTTCAAACCCACAAAACCTGTTTGCCTCTGCTTCTAATACAGCTGTCCTCAAGGTAAGCCTTTTATATCTCATTCCAAATGCTCATGTCCCATGTCATTAATCTTACAATTTCCTGTTTGTTCTAATTACCTTTGTATAGGTTCTGTGGCACACCAAGTATATTCGGTGCACAGAAGTCTCAGGAACTAAAGAAAGTAAATAATAGTGTGTCCGGAATTGGTTCCTTCCAGTGGGTTCTTGGTCTCGCTGACTTCAAGAATGAAGTTGCAAACCCTCGCAGTGAATGTTACAGTTCTTAAAGATGGTGTATCCGGAGCTTGTTCCTTCTGATGTTCAGACGTGTCCCGAGTTTCTTCCTTCTAGTGGGTTCGTGATCTCGCTGACTTCAGGAATAAAGCCACAGACCTTCACAGTGAGTGTTAAGAGCTCATAAAGGCGGGGCACTCCAGAGTTGTTTGTTCCTCCCAGTGGGTTCGTAGTCTCACTGGCTTCAGGATTGAAGCTGCAGACCTTCGGGGTGTTACAGCTCTTAAACGCAGTACGAACCCAAGAGTAAGCAAGAGCAACATTTACTGCGTAACACCGAAAGGACCCCACAGCAAAGAAGAAAACCCACTCTCCTTGGGGCTGCTAGCTGGGCAAACCGATGCTGGTGACAGGGCAAGCTTTTATTTCCTTATTTGGCCCTGCCCACATCCTGCTGATTGGCCCGTTTTCCAGAGCACTGACTGGTCCGTTTTACAGAGTTCTTATTGGTCCATTTTACAGAGTGCTGATTGGTCCATTTTTTACCAAGTGCTGATTGGTGTGTTTACAAACCTTTAGCTAGACACAGAGTGCTGATTGGTGCGTTTACAATCCTTTAGCTAGACAGAGAAGTTCTCCAAGTCCTCCTAACCCAGAAGCCCACCTTCTTCACCTGTCAATAGTAACTAATTGTTAATACTTACAAGAATCCTATTAGTAAATTAAGGCCCAGATAATTTAACTAATTTTCTGAAGATCGCACAGCTAGAAAGTGGAAATTGGCCGGGCGCGGTGGCTCAAGCCTGTAATCCCAGCACTTTGGGAGGCCGAGACGGGCAGATCACGAGGTCAGGAGATCCAGACCATCCTGGCTAACACAGTGAAACCCCGTCTCTACTAAAACATCAAAAAAACTAGCCAGGCGAGGTGGTGGGTACCTGTAATCCCAGCTACTCGGGAGGCTGAGGCAGGAGAATGGCATAAACCCGGGAGGGTTGCAGTGAGCTGAGATCCGGCCACTGCACTCCAGCCTGGGCGACAGAGCGAGACTCCGTCTCAAAAAAAAAAAAAAAAAAAAGGCCGGGCACGGTGGCTCAAGCCTGTAAATCCCAGCACTTTGGGAGGCCAAGACGGGCAGATCACGAGGTCAGGAGATCGAGACCATCCTGGCTAACACGGTGAAACCCCGTCTCTACTAAAGAATACAAAAAACTAGCCGGGCGAGGTGGCGGGCGCTTGTAGTCGCAGCTACTCAGGAGGCTGAGGCAGGAGAATGGCGTAAACCCAGGAGGCGGAGCTTGCAGTGAGCTGAGATCTGGCCACTGCACTCCAGCCTGGGAGACAAGGCGAGACTCGAGACTCCGTCTCAAAAAAAAAAAAAAAAAAAGAAAGAAAGAAAGTGGAAATTGGGCGAGGTGCTCCTGCCTGCAATTCCAGTTTACTTGGAGGCTGAGGTGGCAGGATTGCTTAAGGCCAGGAGTTTGAGACCAACCTGGACAACATAGCAAGACTCTGTCTCTAAAAAGCAAAAGGGGCCAGGCGGGGTGGCTCACGCCTGTAAACCCAGCACTTTGGGAGGCCAAGGGAGGCGGATCATGAGGTCAGGAGATCAACATCATTCTGGCTAACACGGTGAAACCCCATCTCTATTGAAAAAAAGGAAATACAAAAAATTAGCCAGGCGTGGTGGCAGGCACCTGTAGTCCCAGCTACTCGGGAGGGTGAGGCAGGAGAACGGCATGAACCCGGGAGGCAGAGCTTGCAGTGAGCCAAGATCGCGCCAATGCACTGCAGCCTGGGCGACAGAGCGAGACTCCGTCTCAAAAAAAAAAAAAGAAAGGAAGGATAAAGAAAAACAGAGAGGATTCATACCTTTGAAATCTGATTCTCAGGCCTGGGCTCTGAACAACTATGCTTTAACTGTCTCTCACAGGATGTTGAAGAAGATTTGGAAAAGAAACTCATATATTGGTGGATGTATAAACTGGTATGACCTTTACATGGCAATCTATGCAAAAATATATAAAAGATCCATTCTCTCTGACTCACAGTTCCACGTCTAGGAATTTCTTTTAAGTAAAGCTTCATGAATTGTGTAAATATTTGGCTACAAGGATGCTTATCATATCATTTTAATAGAGAAAAATTAGAAACAAGTTAGCAATATGAATTTGGTTTAACCGGTTTAATTGTGATGTCATAAAGGAAAGCAGTGTAACCGTTTAAAGTTATATAGCATAAGAATATATGATGAGCATTTTTCCATGAAACTGATGAAAAAAGGTTAGAGAACAGTATAAATATACTTTTTGCCAAGATATTAACATATTTTTAAAAAAGACTAGTCAAACACTACCCCAGTTGCTGGGTGCAGTGGTGCATGCCTGTAGTTCCAGCTGTTAGGAGGGAGGCCTAGGCAGGAGATTGCTTGAGCCCAGGAGGAGCCCAATACCAGCTTGGGCAACAGAGCAATACCTCATCTCTTAAAAAAAAAAAAAAAAAAAAAAAAAAAAGCAAAATAGATGAGACATGAAAATCAAAGAACACACACATCTAACTACTTCAAACTGTTGTTTCTTGAGCCTTGCAGTTTTATGCATAGTATTTGTTTGTTTGTTTGTTTAAGACGGGTGTCTCACTGTGTTATCCAGGCTGGAGTGCAGTGGTGCAATCATAGCTCACTACAGCCTCCACCTCCCAGGCTTAGGCAGTCCTCCCACCTCATGAGTACCTGGGACCACAGGCATGCACCACCACACCTGGCTAATTTTTTAGACTGTTTGTACAGACAGGGTCTCCCTATGTTGCCTGGTCTCAAAACTCCTGGCTTAAGCAATCCTCCCACCTTGGCCTCCCTGAGTTTTGGGATTATAGGCGTGAGCCACCCCACACTCAGCCACCTTTCTTTTTTTAATTCTTTTTTTTCTTCAAGACAGAGTCTTGCTCTGTCGCCCAGGCTGGAGTGCAGTGGTCTGATCTCAGCTCACTGCAACCTCTGGCTCCCGGGTTCCAGCTATTCTCCTGCCTCATCCTCTTGAGTAGCTGGGATTATAGTCACGCACCACCATGGCCAGTGATTTTTGTATTTTTAGTAGAGTCAGGGTTTCACCATGGCGGCGCATCACTTGAGGTTAGGAGTTCAAGAACAGCCTGGCCAAAGTGGTGAAACCCCGTCTCTACTAAAAGTACAAAAATTAGTGGGGTGTGGTGGTGTGACCTGTAATGGGAGGCTGAGACAGGAGAATTGCTTGAACCCGGGAGGCAGAGGTTGCAGTGAGCCGAGATCACACCACTGCACTCCAGCCTGGGCGACAAAGTGAGACTCTGTCTCAAAAAAAAAAAAAAAAAAAGACCAAAAAATCCATGAAACCACCATAAATAAGATGCAATTTCACAAAGCTCAGTTTACAAAGAAGGAAATTTAATAAATAGTTGAAGATACCCCTGACTGAACCCATAAGTTCTCTGAGTAGACTCATGGAATTCTAAAGAGTTGGTTGCTTGGAGACTGATAGAAACAGCTTTGGAACCTAAGAAACCAAGGAAGGCTTAAGATGCAGAACCTTGCTTCTCTCTGAGGACTGCCTTGTAGGAGGCCATTTGGAAAGTAATTTTGAAACACTGCTCCTTTGCCAGTGTCTGAAAGGTGCTGGATGGCGTCCCCTGGAAGATGAGAGGCAACCTGAGGTAGCTGAAAAACCTTTGGATTAGGTGTGAAAAGAGTCAGTATTACTTCAGATACTAACCAGTATGGTGATCTTAATTTTGTCTCTTCTCTCTGGGCCCCAGTTTTGGGATTTATAAAATCAGGACATTAGGCCTGGTGCAGTGGCTCATGCCTATATTCTCAGCATTTTGGGAGGCCAAGGTGGGAGGATCGTTTGAGTCCAGCAGTTCAAGACCAGCCTGAGCAACATAGTGAGACTCTATCTCTACAAAAAAAAAAAAACAGAAAAAATTTAACCGAGAGTGGTGCTATGTCCCTATAATCCCAGCTATGTGGGAGGATCGCTTGATCCCAGGAGGTCAAGGCTGCAGTGAGCCCTGATTGTGCCACTGTACTCCAGGAGAGTGAGACCCTGTCTCAAAAAAAAAAAGAAA